GGGCGGGGAGCCAGCCTGTCCCCGCGCCGCACGCCCCTGGCCACTCACCCCAGGGCCGGACAGCAGCAGCAGCAGCGCCAGCAGGAGCGGCAGTCGCCAGGCCGGCATGGTGGGGACGCGGCCCTGACTCCCGGCCCCGCCGGCCGGTTCCGGGGGCGGCGCGGACGGAGGGCTGGGCGGTGGCGCCGCGACGACAGCGCGGCACCGGAGGAGCCTCGGCGGACACAGAACTGACTAGGCGGCGGCGACACCCCCATTCCCGGCCCTATAAGCTCCGGGTGCCGCGGCTTCTTCCGGTCCGGGCGGGGCTGAGGGCGGTCCCGGAGGGCGGGATCCATAGGGGGCGCGGCTGACTGGAATGGGGGCGTGCCCTGGCCTCTCGGGGCGGGGTCTAGGCGGGGGCCATCGCGGGAGGGCGGAGCTACAGCGGTGTCAGGCCTGGCGGGCTTTCTGGCTAGAGCCTGTCCTTAGGCGAGAGCAGCTGGAGGATAGTCGCACCTCGGTTTTCGGAGTTTGTGGGCACTGTGCTTTCGGATCTAGAAACCTGCCCGAAGGCTAAGGGAGAATGTCAACCGCCACCCCACCAGCCCGTCCGAAGGACCCGGCGCGCCAGACTTGGGGCCCAGGACCGCTCTCCTGGTCTCCCCTTGGTCCCCCCTAGGTTTTCTGAAGCCACCTCCGAAGCCAGGATCTCAGCCAGCCAAGCCCACACTTCTGCCCTGCAGAATTCATGGCGGAGGGTCCTCCAGCTGTGCCTCATCCAGCCCGAAGGCCCTTTGCTCCCGTTGCTCTGCCCTCAGGAATTCTCCCCGCCTCCCCAACCTAGCAGCCCTCTGGGATGAACCGCGGACAAGTCATTCACCAAAAATTATAAGGAAATCACATGGACTCTTTGTGTCGTATGTGTTTACATGACCTTTGTAGATGTGGCCTCGTGAAGCATGAGATGACATGTGTCAGAACTCATTGGAGGGAGTGGGTGGATTGAGAACTTCAAGGTCTATTTGAGGGTTGTGGGTTATTAATCAGAGTTAATGAGCCCAGCAGCTGTTTGATTACTGGGTCTCAAGATGCCCTCCACTGAGCTGGAAGAAGGAGGGGAGAACTTGTTTCTAGTAAGAGAGAATAAACTAACATTCAGAGCAGAAGGAAAGGTATCTTAGCCACTATTTTAGTAAAAAAAGAAAGTTGCTGGGGGTGTAACTCAGTTGCCTAGCATGCACGAGGCTCTAGGTTCCATCTCCAGTGTCTTATAAACTGGGCAGAATGGCACATACCTGTAATCCCAGCACTCGGAGGCAGAGGCAGGACATCAGGAGATCAAGAACATCTTTGGGTGCATAAGACACACACACACACACACACACACACACACACACACACACTGGGCAGGGGGCACTTTTGTTTGTTCCTGACTTGTTTATATGACAGCCTAAGATAATTTTCAGATTTTAGAAGCAAGCAATGCTAGAAAAAACAAAAAGAAGCAATGGAGGAGTAGACTAGCGTCTAGTCGCTTTGGATCAATTCTATCCAACTATAACACACAGAACTGTTCCCAGGAAGCCCAAATCCTGTAGATAGAGCTGAGGGGTGACTCCCACCATGCTGCAGAATCTAACAAACCAGCTTGAGCAGGATGAATCTTGGCAACTCCAACAGCAGTAGACACATTTGGGAGTTTTACACACGTCTCAATATGAATAATTTGGGGATCGGCAGAGAGATGTAGAGGAATAGGAGCTCCAACACTTCTTAGTATGGTGACCCAGATGAACGCCCAGCACTGAGAGCCCTGAGTCTGGAGGAGCACTTCTATGATTTATTACAGGCCTAGACTGCAAGTGGACTGGTAAAATCATATGCACGTATTTAAAAATAAAGGAGCTCAGCCTCAGCAGATAAAAAGCTTGATATGCTAGCCTGTTGGCCTGAATTCAATCCCCAGAAACCCCAGTGAGAGGAGAGAAGCAACTCCTGAAAGTTGTCCTCTGACTACCATAAGCATACTATACACATACAGAGAGAACAATAAATAATTTTTTAAAAATTTTAAAGCTTGATCAAAAAAATTGCTTTCACATTCTTTCTCCTGTGTATTTTCTCCAACAGAATAAATCTAGAGGTGGAGCAGTGCATAATGAGAGAGTGCATAATGGTAAGGCCAACACTTGGGAGGCAGAGGCAGGAGGAATAGGAGTTCAAGGCCAGCTTCAGCTACATAGTCATCAGTGAGGCCAGCCTGGGTTACATGAGACCTTGTCTAAAAAAAAAAAAATCTAGGAGGAGAACTTGCTGTGCTAGAACCCTTTGACAACGAAAATGTCACTGTGACCCTGTAAAGGTAGAAAAGAAGTACAAAAGGGAGGCTGGCCTCAGTCTGACTCATAAATCAGTTTTAAAGATTCTGAAACAAACAAGAACATCCAAGGACCATAGGTCAGGTAGAGATATTTATCCTGTATTGAGCTGAACTAAATCCCTTGGCTTTAATTGCACTATTACATGTTCTTGGAATTTCCACTGTACCACCAAGGTTGTTCTTGGGCTTAATCAGTCTACCTGCTTTGTGAAATTCTCCCCTTGACTAACAATTCAGACTGACAAGTATTGGTTTTATTTATTATAGCACTGCCCATAATCTGACTCCACAGTCACATGCAGCTTGAAGCATCTTTTTACTTATGATAAACCAAAAGCCTGTATCACTAATAGAGAAATTGAAATATTTTAGGGCTCATTTGAAGTAGATCTGACCATGTAAAGATCTGAAGATAAACAGTAAATGATCTTTCAGGGAGTCTCATTAAATAACTGCTATTTTAAAAGGTCAAGGTGAGATGGTTCAGTAGGTAAAAGCACTTGCTGCCAAGACTGATGACCTGAATTCAACTCCTAGAATCCACATAGTGGAAAGAGAACTGACTCCTACAAGCTGTCCTCTGACCTTCACATGCACAGTGGCATTCACACCAACACACCTACAAACATGTGCACACACAAATAATGAATGTAATAAAAAAAATTAACTATCACAGTAAAAATTGGCCATTTTCCCCACCAACATAATATATACATACATATATATGTGTGTATATATATTTTTTTTTCAACAAAGAGTGGAGGACCTAAGTATGTCTGGGGAGATGAGAGAAAGTAAATTAACCAAATCTTATTTTCACTTTTCTTAAGCCAGTGGATCCTGAACTTAGAGCACTTTTAAAAATCAGATTTCCAACACCTTCTGTGCTTCCTACCCTTATTGATTCAGAATATTCAGGGCAGAGCCTAGAAATGTGTCTATTTTGCAGTTCCCTCAGGTGGCTGAGGGCAGGCAAGATCTGGGCTCTAGCTCACTGCCAGTGTCAGGTGTTAATCCCTGTACCTGTGAATCTTTAGTGTTTATTTTAGCAAATGCCGCCCTCTAGTGGAAACGATTATTACTAAACGTTAAAATTTTTATCTCAGGTTTAAAACTTCAAACTCATTTTACAATGATTGTCAGGTTGACTTGCAGATAACTGTTAAGCAAGATAGTAACTATTTAAAAAATTTAAATTACATTTATTTATTTGTATGTAAATATGTATGTGGGCACACATGTACCACAACATGCATGTGGTGTACAGAGGACCTTGCAGGAGTTGGTCCTTTCCTTCCACCATGTGGTAGGTGGGTCTCTCTTTCCACCATGTTGGTCCCAGGGATCAAATTCAGATTTTCAGTCTTCACTGCAAATGCCTTTACCCATGAGCAATCTCACTAGCCCTTTGAAAAAAAGGGTCTTTAAAGGAAAAGTTTGTAGGAGCTGGAGAGATAGCTCAGTCGATTCAAGTTTTCAGTGCCCACATAGGGTGGCTCATAACTGCCTGTAACTCCAAGGATCAGATGCTTTCTTTTGGCCTCTGTGGGCACCTGTACACACATGATGTACATACATACACTGAGGCCCACACAATAGACATAAAACAATAAATCTTGGAAGGAAGGAAGGAAGGAAGGAAGGAAGGAAGGAAGGAAGGAAGGAAGGAAGGAAGGAAGGGTTAGCTTGTAAAAGGGAGGTCATTTTTGAAAACTCAAGTCTTTTCATCAGAACAAATCAAATTGGGTATTTTGTTTGTTTGTTTTTCTTTTGGAGACAGAATCTCTCTTGTAGCCCCAGCTGGCCTAGAGGTCTATATGTAGACCAGACTGGCCTCCATCTCACAGAGCTCTGCCTTTCTCTGCCTCCCAAGTGCGGGGATTAAAGACATGAGTCACCCTGCCCAGCTCCTAAATTGCTTGTTTTAAATGTCCTCCCTGCTGTTTCCTGAACAGACTTGAACTTACAGCACTTATGGACTGTAAGAGATGAATAAAACTATATAGCAAGCAAATTTTATTTGTATTTAATGTATGTAAGTGTTCTGCCTGTGTGTATGCAAGTGCATCAAATGTGTGCAATACCCACAGAGGCCAGAAGAGAGTGTTGGACAGTTGTGAACCTCCATGTGGGTGTTGGGAATAGAACCCAGGTCCTCTGCAAGAGCAACTAGTGCTCTTAACCACTGAGCCACCTCTCCAACCCATAAATAATTAAAAAAAGATTTACTTTATTTTTAATTATGTGTAGGTATATGCACATGTGTGCAGGTTCCCATGAAGACCAGAAAAAGGTATCAGATTCCCTGGAGCTGAGTTTCGAGCTGCCCCCATTGTGGTTGCTGGGAACTGAACTTAGGTCCTTTTCAAGAACAGTAAATGCTTTTTAACTGCTGAGCCATCTCTCCAGACCCAGAAGCCAAATTTTTATCTCATTCTTATCCTAATGTTTAAGGGTAGTTTAAAAGCTGCTGTCACTGGGAAGCAGTTTGGTTCTTAGGTGAATAGAACTTTGGCTCTTAGATGACAAGCAGTACTATCACTACTGTATGTACTTTTCGATTGGGAAAGAACTTTTTTTCAGTGTTGGGGATCAATCCTTGGGCCATGCATGCTAAGCAAATGCTCTACCTCCAGCTCCTTTCTAGCACAAAAGTGCTTATCTCTCATTTTCAGTGTTACTATTTATCCATTGTTTGCTCTTATTTGGAAATATGCAAATACCTACCTTTAGGATCATCTTGCACAATAGGTCATGAGTTAATGATTAATAATTAGGCACATTTTATAGATGATACATTGAGCCTGGGCATGGTGGCACATGCTTGTAATCCTAGCATTTGAGTGGCTGAGGCAGAATTGCTGAGAGTTTGAAGCTGACCTTGACTACATAGATGAGTTCAAGGTCAGCCTGGGCCACATAGCAAAACCCTGCCTCAA